TTTCGTCCCGTGAAAATATTATTAATGAATGCTTGAGCGGAAACATCCTATGATTGGTTTACCAAAATCATTTTGCGTCTGGGAGTTTCATCTTCTGCTAAGAGAAAATGTTTCTTAAATGAAAACCGTTCTTTAAGATAACAAATTGAACAAGTGTGGTTTTTGTCTGAAGATAGTTTTAATAGACGATAAACATTGGACGAAGCTTTTAGTGAATTAGATTAACCAAAAAAGTGCGTCTGAAACATTAAAACGTAGAGCAAATTTTTATACTGGTTCACTCAAATTGAGCTACGTCCAGTCTCCTTCAAATGAAGGGTTCCATTAAATAATCAATTAAGTACAAATATTGTTTGTTTAGCCTCTTCAGGCTAGTAGTGAGTATTATAGACCACCCGGGTCACGACCACTCCTGGTCTCAAGTATTCTCAACCACTCCTGGCTCGTTAGCTTCACTCGCAAACGCTAGTATTTTTAAACCATTTCTAGTTGCCTGAATATTCTCAACCACTCCTGGTTCGTCAACCTCACTTGCTGACGCTAGTATTCTTTGCTCAACCACTTCTAGCTCTCAGTGAGTATTATCGACCAACTCCTGGCCTGCCAGCTTCACTCACTAGCGCTAGTATTCTTTGATCAGCCACTTCTGGCTCCCAATGAGTATTCTCGATCAACTCCTGGCCTGTTGACTTCACTCATCAATGCTAGTATTATTTACTCAACCACTTCTGGCTCGCAGTGAGTATTCCTTGACAAGCCTCTCTAGGCTTTACAAGTATTTTTTCCCTAGCCTCTTCAGGCTTTTCAATATTAGCTAGGCAAGTTTAGTTTAGTGTATGGGTTACTCTCATAGAGAGGATACATAGGTTTCTACACTCACTAAGGTATGCAACCTTAGTCTTTACAACGATTGAGTATTTGGTTTACTCTCATGGAGAGGATACATAAGTTGCTAAACTCACTAAGGTTTTGCTCCTAAAATGTACATGTTTGGAACACCTTAGTTTACAGAGATGAATACACTATGGTACATTTGATTCTATATGTTTTATCTCTGGTTTCGTTATTTCATGGGCTTGATATCACTTTGTTAAGAATGCAAGGCCAAGGGCCAGCCAAAAAAGCCAACCTTCCAAGGTTGGAGACAGTGATATATATATATATATATATATATATATATATATGTATATATTGTCTTGTAAAATCTGCCTGTTGCAAGTGTCCGTTGAAGCAAGTATAGTCGTTCATGACTAGTTCAATCTTCTCATTTAATGCTTGAGTTCTTGCATTAAATGTTACTTCCTGTGATAGACCTTGCGTGAAATATTCTTTGCCTTGGTAGCAGTAGTTTCTAAATTTAGCAGAGACCTAGGAACCTTTTTGTCCTTTTCTGGTCACATAGTTGTAGAGTGTTGTCCTTAGCTAAAAAAGTAATGTACTTTTTCTAACACATGCATGCTCTTGCTTTTGTGTGCTTTTCTTCTTCTTTTTCTTTTTGATCACGCGTTTACGTTGAGAGCTTTTATATGATCGTAGATGATGCCTTGATTTGTCTTTTAAGACTTGATTCTTCAATTTCTTGCGTGGCAGTCTTCGTCTGCGTTTGTTGGTCCTGTGCATCTCAATCTTGACTTTCTTCTAAGAATTAGTCAATAATGTTTTGACTTTCTTCTAATCTGATTAACTTTTATATGAACAGTCTTTCATTTTCGTTTGAAATGCTTATTAGTCTGTACTGCTCTTCGTCTAATTTTTGTTAACTTCCATTTTTGTTTGACCAACTTCCGTATGAGTTCTTTTTGCTTTGACTTTTTATTTATGAAGCTTTCGTTTGTCGTCTTGTATCGTCTGATGCATATGCTTGTCCTTCATTTTTCCTGTACTAATGTTTTTTTTGAAACACTGGCACACTTATTAGAAATAACAATATGTATTATATTTGTCATATTCAAAACCTCACTTGGAATTGCTTCGTCTTCGTCTGACTTAACACTAGTTTGGTGGATGTTCCTATAAATTCACGATGTCTTGATTCTGGAGCATCTACTCATGTTGCTAATTCTTTGCAAGAGTTCAAGAACAAGTGAAAGCTAAGTGAAGAAGAATTTAATCTTCCAATAGGAAATGAGAATAAAGTTGGTGTTCAATTTATAGGACTAGTTGAGTTGAAACTAGAATTGGGTTTTGTTTTACAATTAAAAGACATTGTTTATGTGTTGTCCATGAGACAAAATTTGATTTCTTTGTCTAAACTTGATGATCATGTTTATGCTTTTAATTTTAATAAATGAGTTTGTTGTTTATCTTTCAATTCTCAAGTTGTTGGCAAAGCAATCAAATATGATGGTTTATACCGTTTGAATCTTGATTCAAATATTTTCAATTCTTTGTATGTTCAAATGTTTGGAACCAAAAGAGCTTTAACTAAAGAAAACTATTTTTCTTTATGGCAAAAACATCTAGGACATATTTCTAAAGAAAGGATTGTCATGCTAATAAAAGATGAGGTATTACCTCCTCTAGATTTTATAGACCTTGAAGAATATGTAGATTGCATAAGAGGTAAATTAACCAAGAATAGGAAAGACCTTACATGTAGTAAAGATTTCTTAGGCATAATTCACACAAACACTTGTGGGCCTTTGAAACCAACTTTGTGTGGAAACAGGTATTTTATAACTTTTATGGATGACTTTTTTTTTGTTTTGATTATGTCTACCTAGCCTTAACCATTTTTGTGTTTGGTGTTATGTTGCTGAAGTTAAAATTTATGACCTTTTGGCATCAAAATTAAGTCCTAAAACCACTAAGATGTTATTTTATTAGTTATCCCACCCATGCTAAAGGTTATAAGTTCTATTGTCTTACCCATGGAACAAAAATAATTAAGGCAATCACCGCCAAATATTTACAAAATGATATAGTGATTCTAAAACCCCTATTAGTGATGGGGCAAGTTCTAGTAGAGAGCATCATATTGTGCTAGTTTCCATTGTGCCATAAATGATTAAATACTCTCTATGAATCATAATGGTGTGTGGGAGCTTGTGGTAGTTCTTGATGATACCAAACCCATTAGATGCAAGTGGGTATTTGAAACCAATCTAAAGGCAAAGTAGAATGTTTTAAAGCACGACTTTTAGTCAAAGGGTACATTCAAAAAAAGGATATTGACTACAAAGAAACTTTTTCTCCTATTTCTTCTAAAGATTTCCTAAGGATTATTTTGGCTCTTATAGCTTATTATGATTTGAAATTACATCATTTGGATATAAAGACAACTTTTTTGAACGGAGATCTTTATGAAAAGGTTTATATGTAACAACTTGAAGGTTTCATAGTGAAGGGTAAAAAACATTTGATATGTAAATTGAAGAAATCAATTTACAGTTTGAAATAGGCTTTTAGGTAGTGGTATATTAAATTTGATGAGATTATTACATCCATTGGGTTTGTAGAGAATAAAGTAGACCAATGCATATATCTCAAGGTTAGTGGGAGCAAATTCATTATTCTTATTCTCTATGTGGATGACATTTTACTTGCTAGAAACAATTATGATATGCTTGTTGAGACAAAGAAAATGTTGTCAGCATGATTTGATATATGAAGGATCTTGTAAAGGAATTTTTCATTTTGGGTATAGAGGTCTATAGAGATGGGTCTCGCAAGCTTTTGGGTTTATCTCAAAAGGCTCATATTGATAAGGTTTTGAAGCGTTTTAACTTGGAGACTTGTCTAGTGATGTTCCTATTGTCAAATGGGACAAGCTATGTAAGGATCAATTCCTTAAGAATGACACTGAAAAGAATTCCATGGAGAATGTTCCCTATGCTAATGTAATGGGTAGCTTGATGTATGCACAAGTATATACTATAGACTTGATTTGCCTTTTATTATTAGTGTCTTGGGTAGATTCTTGTCAAACTTGGAATATGCTTATTGGGTTGCTATTAAAAAAGGTAATGAGATACTTACAAAAGACAAAAGAATACATGCTTGTTTACAGGAAAATAGATGGGTTGGATGTTATTGGATGATGTTATTGGCTACTCTGATGTAGATTTTGTTGGTTGTCCACTACAACAAAAACGCTGATTTCTGACGGAAATTTTCGACGGAAATAGGTAAATTTCTGACGAATTTTGCTTTTCCCGACGGATTTCAATCCGTCGGAAAAAGTGGCGTCAGAAAAAAAAATCCTTCGAAAATAATTTTTTCGACGGAATTTTTCGACAGAAAAATCTGTCGGAAAAATCTGTCGGAAATTTCCGACGAAAAAATCTGTCGGAAATTGCTGTCAAAATTTCTGACAGAAAAATCCGTCAGAAATTGCTGTCAAAATTTTCGATGGAAAAATCCGTCGGAAATTATAATTTTTTTTAATTTTAATAAATTTATTAATGTAACAACTCTCATATTTGGCCTCTCAAGAGTTCTATTTCACAATATTTCACTATTTAGCGTGTTTTATCCTTACTTATGTAATTTTTGGGAGACTTCCCAGAAGGTCACCCATCCCAGTACTACTCCAGGTCAAGCACGAATAATAATTCATTTAAGTCATCCTCAAATATACAATCTCATATTTAAATGCATTTGCTCTATTTTCTTAGTAGAGAACTCTACCACAAATGATCAGAGGAACACAAATCCAAATACATACTTCACCAATAATATAGGTCATTATTGGTTTTCTGACAGAATGAGTTGTACATAGTATTTTACCTTCGTACCAGATGGGCAATAGTATTTAATTGTTGATACAGTCTACTCTGTATTCACACGGCAGGTAAATGTACAATGAATACCAGTTTAGTTTCAATGATTAGTAGTATTTTGTTTGGTTGTACAGTAAGGATATCCTCTGTATAATACCTATGCCTTATTGTTAGATTCCAAAGATTTGTTTATAATTCTATCCTAATGATTTTTTTTTTTTTCAAATTAAGGTTTATTCTAATATAATTTATTTTAGCATAATTGAATTTGGGAATTTCTATTTGAAGAGGGTATGAGCGAGGGGTGTAAGCGAGTCGAGATTGGATTGGCTTAGGTACTAGATTTGGTCAAACTTGACTTGATCCAACTGTGCTTAGATGTTTCAAAAAAATATTATTTATTTAGAACTCTAAAATCTAAGCATTGCTCGAACCCTCTTCAAATAGAAATCCCAAATTCAATTATGTTTGCTGCAAAAGTATTAATTAAAGGCAGCATCAATATAGCTTACTAGTTGTAATATGTATTCTCTGTAGAATTGGCACAGTATTTTGTTTGTCTTACCTTGTGAATTGCTATCTATTGGGAAACTTGGGAAAAGATTATTCAAAGACCGTTGGAGTAGTTGATCTTGGTGGTGGATCTGTTCAAATGGCTTATGCCATCTCAGAGACAGATGCTGCCATGGCTCCAAAAGTAGTAGATGGGGAGGACCCATATGTCAAGGAGATGTTCCTGAGGGGAAGGAAATACCACCTTTATGTTCACAGGTTTGCTACTTACTCTTGATATATCAGTATGATGTTCCATCTTTTTCAGCCTCTTGGAGCATTAACTCATGGTTCTATGTTCTTCCACTTTTAGTCCATTTTTATTTCCTATTCCAGTTCCATGTTCAAATAGATATTCTGTAATACTGGTTTCCTTGTCTGATAGATTTTTACATCTTGCTTTCAGATACTTGCACTATGGTTTACTAGCTGCTCGTGCTGAGATTTTAAAGGTTTCTGAAGATGCTGAAAACCCTTGTATCTTAACTGGCTACGATGGTAAATATACTTCTTCTATCTGTATGCCTGATGCTGTTTTGATGCATGTGTTACATTTCAGCTCTTTTGTTAAGTTTAACCTTTCATTGGTCCATGGGGAATAGAGCTTTGAAATTTTAAACTTTTTTGTAAATATTTTTCTTCCTGTCTTTTTTCTGATAACAAGCCATTCTTAAATATTTTTTCTTAGGATCCTACAAATATGGTGGAAAGTCGTATAAAGCTTCATCCTCCTCCTCTGGAGCAAGCTTGAATGAATGCAAAAGTATTGCTCTTAAGGCTCTGAAAGTTAACGAGTCAACATGTACTCATATGAAGTGTACTTTTGGTGGGATATGGAATGGTGGAGGGGGGGATGGACAGAAGAACCTTTTTGTTGCCTCCTTTTTCTTTGACCGGGCTGCTGAGGTATTCATTAATTTATTTTAGAATTAAATGTTTAGTTTTTAAACTTTTGTCAATTTTCATTTTAATCCCTAATAATTTTTTTTTTGGTTTTAATCTCAAATCTTTTTCTTTGAATAAAAAATTGACATCAAGAACCAAAATATTAACCAGAGAAAAAGTTCAAGGACTAAAAGTGAAAATTGATAAAAGTTCAAGAACTTAAA